AAAGTGGCCAAGGCATAGCCCGCACCAGTTCACTAATTCAACTTTCGCCGTATATTGATAAAGATGGCGTTCTCCGCTTACGAGGACGCATAGATGCCGCCACTTGGCTACCAATAAGCACGAGGCGCCCAATCATACTGCCACCAAGCCATGCCTTCACAAAACTAGTCGTATCTCATTACCACAACAACATGCGTCATCAAAATTTGGAGGCTACGATTTGCGAAATTCGCCGAAGTTATTGGGTGCCGCGCTTGAGGAATCTGCTGCGAAGTGTAATCGCCAGCTGCGCTGTGTGCCGGCTACACAAAGTCAGCGCCGTACCACCACTAATGGGTCTGCTACCGGCCGACAGACTAACGCCGTATGTGAGGCCGTTCAGCTATACGGGCCTTGATTACTTCGGTCCGGTAACAGTCACTGTGCGACGGAGCACCGAAAAGAGATGGGAAGCGTTATTCACCTGCCTAACTGTGAGAGCTGTGCATTTGGAGTTGTCCCACGATCTTAGTACTGACTCATGCATAGTCGCCATATGAAACTTCATAAATCGACGTGGCGTCCCTAAACGCATGAGGTCCGATAATGGGAAAAATTTCGTTGGAGTCGATATGGATGCAAAACGATTTAGTGAGGTTTTTGACTGCGTTCGAGTGCAGAATGAGCTGTCGCAGAAGGGCGTTGAATGGGTATTTAATTCGCCCTTCAACCCGGCCGAAGGAGGTGCTTGGGAGCGGTTAGTGCAGTGCGTCGAGCGGGTCCTACGCCAGACTTTAAAGGAAGCGTCGCCGCGGGAGCATACAATCAACTGCTTCCTCATCGAAGCTGAAAGTATTGTTAATTCTCGACCGCTGACGCACTTGCCAGTCGATGTCAATCAGGAGCAACCACTAACGCCCAATGACTTCCTGCTGGGTGAAGACAATGCACCACAAACTCCAATTACGGATTATGTTTTGGAGAACACGTATGTTCTGCGGCAACAGTGGCGCATTGCTCGACAAATTAGAGACCATTTTTGGAAGCGATGGATAGCTGAGTATCTTCCCACACTGACACGCCGGGTGAAGTGGTGCCAGAGAACCAAACCCATACAAATAGGTGACCTTGTATTTATATGCGATCCGAACATACCCCGACGAGAATGGCACCGAGGCAGGGTAGAAGGCATATATCGTGGAGCAGATGGTGAAGTCAGACGGGTTGACGTGCGCACTAACAATGGCCTGAAATGACGAGCCGTATCAAAATTGGCTGTTCTGGACGTTGAATGTGGTGAATCGGGCTGATTCACGGGGGTGGGAATGTTGGGAACTCCTGCCTTTACCAAATTCAACTTCTATATTATTGTATTTCCAATTTCATGTATGCTTACATTCACCTACTTATGTTTATGAATT